CTGATCTCAATCCCGACGCCGATATCGCCCAGCTTCACGGTTCGGGAAAAGTGGATCTGACGGCAAATATGCGTCAATATTGTGTTACAACCTAAGGGGAGAACGACCTACATCCATTGACGAAGGCAAGCAGATCTTGAGCTCCAATTTCCGCTGAATGGTAGCGCATAGGACTAATCCATCCACCTTCTCCTTAGCAAGGATGTTGAGCTCATCAAGGGGTGGTATAGTCGCGCATAGCGAGATTCCTACACCCGGGTTAGGGCTTCTGTGTCACTAGGGAAGGGCCTAGAAAGTGAATAGCGATCGCTGACCTACCTTTTCGGACGGGATACTTCAGGGTGTTCAGCTCTTTTACTGACTTGATCTCGCCAGATGCGGCAATCACGGCGACATTCCGCAACCTGAGGTTTCCAATGGGGGTGCCTGCAAGCGTGTCACAAAGCTCTGCCAGACAGAGGTCCGTATCAGCCAGACCATAGATCATCCACTCGCGTTCAGAAGCCTGCTTCGACTTCTTATTTGTCTCTTTACGCTGCGTAAGAAAGGCGACTGCCACAGTCACTCCACTGAAGGTGACCTTGCCTCTGATGGAGAACTTGCTGGCCCGGTTGAGGAGAACCTCCTTGTCTTTGCCGGTATCTTTCTTGACAAGGTCCTTTGCCATTGAGCTGTCTTCTTGGGAAGATTTCACAACGGCTGACTCGCTACCACCGGCGTCAGCGTCGATCGAGGAGCCCTTTTTGCCGTTCACACTTAGTTTTTTGTCGGTTTTGGGCTTTGCTCCGATAAAGATATCAATCCGGGCCTCCTTGATCGTGATATCAGCGTCCTTCACTTTGTAATCCTCCACCCCACCCTCGATGGTCAAGCCGGTGCTGTCATATTGAATCAAACCGTGCACGCTTTTGACGTCGTTGAAGCTCACTTTCCCGGAAAGCTCAAAGCACCATTGTGTATCCTCCTCCCCCTCTTCCTTCATGGCAGCACTCTTCTCGTCAGCCTTGGTTGCTGCTTTGGTTTCAGTCACTGCGGCAGAATCTCCTTCCTTGGCCTCGTCATTTACGCTCGGTTCACCCGTAATCTTCTCGTTTGCAGAGTCCTTCTCTTCAGTCGGTGCTTTCTCGCCGTCTTCGAGCGTCTTCTTTTCTCTATCCTCATCACCCTCCTTCTCATCCTTCTTCTCATCCTTCTTCTCCTTCTCCTTCTTCTCCTTCTCCTTCTCCTTCTCATCTGCTTCTTTCTTCTTCAGCCTCCGACCAATATTGAGGTGCAGCTCCTCGAAGGTTAAATTGTGGTCCTTAATGCCCTCAGTCTTGGGTTCGACTCCGTGGATATGGGCGTAAATCTTCAAGATTGATTCGAGCTTCAAGTTGCCCACCTTGGCGTCGAAATGATAATCTTCTGTGTGGGGATTAGTAGAGCTCTGCTGCAGCCAAGAACCATAGATGGACTTACTCCTGGACAATTGGCCTTTGATCTCCAAGGTGGCATTCTTCGGCTTCTCCTTGTCTGCATCGCCTTTCTTGTCGCCACCATTTTTCTTGTCTTCGCCCTTTGACTCCTTTTCCTTGTCTTGGCCTCTACCCGCGGCCGACGGCTTCGGCTTCGTGTTTGAAGCAACTTTGGCGTGCTCTTCAATGTCTTTCTCGGCCGTTTCTGCGTTTGCCTTTTCCTTTTCCTTGTCCTCCTTCTCCTCCTTCTCGAGGCTACCCTGAGGAAATTCGAGAGAGCCAGACACAGTCAGCGTGCAGGTCTTCCTGAAATCTCCTGGTTTGAAGAAGGCGCGCAATTCCGCTTTCTTCATCTGTTGATGGGTGATCAAGTTACCATGGGAGTTCATGTTCTCTGAATCGCCGGGATTCTTACACTGAGGTTTGCGACACCGCAGAAGTTATCCCACTTGCCGACATCAATGACCACTGCCAACCACGTAAGTTCGATCCTCGACCCTGCCTGGGTCAGGTGGACTTACGTTCATACTTGCTTCCACCACCTTGCTCGTCTTTTTCCTCCTTGCTTTTCACGGCCTTCTCGTCCTTCTTGTCTGTGTGATCAGAGTCGGGTTTGTCTGCTTTTCCCTTACCTTCGGCAGCTTTATCATCTTTCTTGTCTTCTTTTTCTTTCACTGTCTGGTCAGTCTTCTTGTCTGTATCCTTACCGTCCTTCTTCTCATCTTTCTTGTCATCTTTCTTGTCATCTTTCTTATTCCCTTTACTGTCTTTCTCTTCTTTCTCCTTCTGCTTCCAGTCACCTCCCCGGATCCAGTATCTTGCCTCCAGAGTTCCCTTCGATTTGGGCAATTTGGTGATGTTGAGTTTGCCAAATAAGCCGACTCCCAGTTTCCATTCTTTCTCCTTGTCTTTCTTGTTCTTGTCCTCAGACGATTTGTCCTGTGTGCAACATTAGCAAATTCGGGGGAGTTGTAAGTAAATCACGCCTTGCGTACCTTCTCGTCGAGCGCTTTGGGTTCCGTTTCCTTTGACTCGGGGACTTCCTCGGGGTTTCTAGGGCTGGAGTCATCTTCGAGCACATTCACCACGGCGGCTACTTCCGAAGATGCAGACTCGCCTTCTGCAGGCTGGGCATCCTGCACCTTCCCCTTTTTATTCTTATCTTTGTCGTTTCCCTGCTGCTTAGTCTGCTCGCTCTTATCGCCCTCATCGCCCTTCTCACCCTTCTTTCCCTTGCCACCTTCCTTCTTATCATCCTTTTTCTTCTTCTCCTTCCTCGCTGACAACTCGATGCCCACCGTCTTGAACTCCAGGAAATCCCACTTCGGCAACGTCATATCAGCATAGGCCTGCAAGACCAAACCCTCGATCTTGGGCTTCTTGCTCCAGTCTCGCTCCTTGGCAATCAACGCACTGACCCGCAGCTTGGAAGGCAGGGTTGTTCCCTTGTCGGAGCCGAAGACATTCTTGAGCCCGTCCGAGACGAATTGCAAGCCATCCTGAAACTCCAGGTCACCCTCGAGTCGCAATCCGACCGGGAAAAGGCTATCTTTCTCCTTGTTGCTATAGGTAAACTCTAGGTTCTTGAGCGGAAGCTTCTGGATTGTCGACTGCTCGATCTCGGGGAAGAGGATGCCGAGCGGGGAATCCATATCCTGGAGTTTGACCTTTTCTTGGATCGGCTCATCCTTCTTGTCACCCTTGTCTTTTGCCTGTCCATACTTCTTGTCCTTGGACTGGGAATCTTCCGTCTTCTCTTTCTTGGGCTTTGATTCAGCATCTTTCGATCCGACCGGAGGCTTTTTGTCCGGCCGGGCCTCCTTCTTCGCCTCATTCTCGGCGCCGTCCTTCTCACCCGCTTTCGTCTTCTTCTCGTCATCTTTCTTCTTGCCATCCTCGCTTCGGAAAGAGTACAGCTTCGCCTTCAGCCCCTTGATGCCGAAGAAATCCTTGATATCACCGCTGAGAACGTAAGAATCGACCGCAGCGGCGCCGACCTCCCCCTTGGCGGCAGCCATCTCTTTCTTGACCTCAGGCAGCGCGACCGGCGTCGCCGTCTCGGGGAACGCGATTTCAGCATCATTCTCCGCCGGCAGCAGCAGCATGGGCTGTGCGGCTGTTTTGCCGATCGAGGCGACCAGAAGCGAACCCCCGCCTCGCTGCACCCCGGAGACCGGGACCGGCATGACCTTGACGTCGCTGTACAGATCGTGGTCCTTGTGTTCGGGCGCCGGATCGCTCGAGACCGACTCCCCGACCACGAGGGCGACGTTCTGGACGACTGCGCCGCCGATGATCAGCTCGTTGGCGGGCGAAGCCGGGATCTCCGGGGGCGCCGCTGACAGCGATCGGGACATCGTGGTCCAGCCCGATAGAGGGAGAAATCGCGGGGCTGGGGTTGCCGGAGGCGATACATCTGGGGTGGTTACGAGGTTGCTGCGCTTTTCGTTGCGGACTGTGGCGGTGGAGAAGACGTCGAGGGATTGCAGGGAGGAGAAGGCCCCGCTCGCAATGAGGTCTTCGCCGAAACTGGACAAAGAAAGGAGTTCAGTATCTCGCGCCATGCTGTCTATTGTCTGAGTAAGATGGTGAATGTCAACTGTTGCCTGAGTACGAACAGCAAGCCACACGCCCAGATATCAAGAATGCAATCCCACTGCCGGGATAATCGGCACATCATATACCCCCGCTGCACGAAAGGTCCCCACAGGCAGCCACGGCAAGTCCGATTCCCTGTTTTTCCTTTTCAGCTGAAGGTCCCGAAAATGGGGATCCGCCCCAGCTCAGCTCAGCTCGGCTGCTGATCTCGTTCGTGATGGGGGCCTGTGGGGAGATCCGATCGACGATCGACATCAACCTTGCCCAGTCTGGGCTTCATCCGATGTTGAGAGCTCCACCTGGAGTGGGGTTGATAATGGCTAGCGTCGCGTTCTCAAGCCAGCCACCCTCGTCTTCAGTTTTGCTCTTATCGCTGGACAATGGCAGTTCCTTGTTAAAGCCGCCAATAAGGCCCACGGGTGACAAGTGTTGACGTAGTGCTCACTAACTAACTGGTAACTAGTTGACTTCTTTAGGGCTTTGGCAGGACACACGCTGGTGCTGTGGCCCCAATGCCTGGAACGAGATTGTTTCCCGCCTGTTTGGGTGGCTCCAGCTCTCTTATCTGCTTGCATCTTGTCCCTTTTCTGGTCTTGTCCTACGCTTTTTGTCTCCTTGTCTCGTGATCTTATCGCCAATTCTTCTTCTTCTGAGCTTTGCCGTCGTGCCCGCGGGATGGTAAGCCTAGACCAGGACATGCAGTAACACCCCGCAATGCCAGTTGACAGCCAGCATAATCGAGCTGGCCCACGCTCTAGATCAGAGGTCGCAAAAGATAGTAGTATCTCTGTCAGGGCTGGGAGCCCTACAATTCCTTATAGAGAAATAGGATCACATACGCGCAATCAATGGGATCAATAGGTTCGCTGTTAGGGCTGATTCAGGGACTGAATCGGAACTGCGCATAATGATGGCCGAACCGCCATTCAGTGCTGTTTTGAACGAATCGGATTGTTCTTGCCCTACCATCCCATGATACCATGTCGCACAGCCTGGAAGGGATCATGTTCGATCTGCGAGGCGTCGCAGTCAAACAATACAGAAAGACCCTCTCTCAGCCCCCGGAGGAGTCCTCAACCAAGGTACCATGCGACGAAACCGACAATGCAACCCCAAGTTATGTAACAGTTACACCTGGACATGCACGCACCCTACCATTCAATCACGACTGTACACCTTCAGACCAATTGCAGACCTTCTAAACAGGAATCGGATTGAAATACGCGAACCGATTGTCCGGATCGTACTCCCGCTTCAAGGCGCGCAGCCTCTCCAACCGCCACCGCTCATACCCATACATCGAGTCCAGCGACTCCGTCCCAAAGGCATAGTTGACGTACGTCGTCGGGCGCCGGGTGGGCTGTCCCTCATTCCACAGGTCGCGGATGCGACCCGCCCACTCGATCGCGATATCATCCAACGCATCATCGGGTACGTGGGTGACAGCGGCCCACCTGCGCAAAGGCTCATATTAGCGACCTGGCATACTTGCCTGATAGAGTATAGCTCCCACACTTTGAGCCTTATAAGGGGCGGGAAATACATACATGAGCAGATAGTCGTCGCGGAAGGGATACGCCGACGAGGCGGGGTCGACGGCCAACACGCCCTGGAGGGAGTAGCCCTCCATGAGCACGACGGAGGCATTGAACGCGGGAATGGAGCGCAGCATCTCGCTGAAAACATCATAGATCGCCCGCTGTGCGGTCACGTTGTACACTTGCAGGCCCGCGGTTGAGACCATGTGCGCGAGGCCGTGCGCACAGATCGAGTCGTTCACGCCGGTCTTCTGGGCGTTCGGGATCTCGGTATACGGGACGTTGCCGTCGTCGACGCGGAGAGGGTGCAGCGCGTCGAAGGGGGCCAGGTAGGGCTGCGCCGCGGCTTCGGGGCCTGAGTAGGCGAAGGACCAGAGGATGATTGCCTTGCACGGGGTTAATATACTTCAGGTTGAAACGGTGATGAGGATGGTGGGAAGGGCGGGTGCTACCTCCGTCGCGCTGACCGTAGGGTCCAGCTGATACATCGTGTATTGCCACGCGATGTCGACCGGCTGCGTGCCATTGCCCTGCAGCCGATTCAATTCTTCGAACAACGGCTCGAGCTGCGTCTGCGAAAAGACATAGTTCCGGTAGTACCAGGTCTCCTCCTGGCGGGGGAAGATACGCAGTTCGAAGCTGGTGACCACGCCGAAGTTGTGGCCCGCGCCTTTCATGCCCCAGAAGAGGTCTGGGTGCGAGGTGTCGGACACTGTGATCGCGGTCCCGTTCGCAAGAACCACGTTCAAGCTGAGGTAGTTGTCGCTGACCATCCCGTGCCGGCCCTGCAGACGGCCGTGGCCCCCGCCCAGACCGAGACCGACCATTCCGACGCAGCCGCAGCTTCCGGTGGCTTGGGAGATTTGTCAGCCGTTCAGTTTGTCCGATGCAAAGTAGGATAGGGGGGTGACTGACTTGCTACATAACCCTGTTCCCACAGCACGTCTATCACCTCCTGGGCAAACGTCCCGCCCTGAAAGCGAGCGGATCCGCCATCCGGATTGATGTCGATTCCAGTCAGCAGTTGCATGTCAATCTCCAGACCGTAGAATTGGCCCGGGGTAGTTGTCATGCTGTGAGCGCGGTTGACCGTGAAGAAAGGCAAGTCGTTCTCATTGGCATATCGAACCTGATATATTCGCGTTAGCCGTGCATTTGTTGTTTGCACGCTTCCTAAGCAATATGAGAACGCGAGAGGAGGTATCAAGACGTACAACGGTGGCGACATCCTCCTCGCACCCTACGCGTACGACCACCTTGATCTTCGGGGGTTCGTACGCCTGGTACCGTGACGTTGCGTTCGGCCACAGCGGGCTGTCAGGCCCAAACACGCTGGATGTGGAACAGAGCAGCGGACTGAGTGCGGCCTGCACTTGCGCTGTGTCCAGGTTGGTGCGACTTGGTAATTGGGGTTGGTTTGTCTCCACGGAAGACCAGGCCCATGCCAAAGGGCTTAGAGCCGCGAGGCAGCACGCCGCCTGATAAAGTAGTCGAGCCATTGTTCTGTATTCGAGTTCTGCACGAAGCGTCTGGGTCGATGCGCATGAGAATGCGCTTGCTTAAATGCGTTTTGATCACTCGTTCCACCAGAACTGACCTCGCTCGGTGTGAAATGGTTCCGCTCGGGATCACTCAAGGCAATGCAAACCTTTGACCGAGTGTGTAAGACACCAAGACCGAGCGGGAGATGCTCCCGCTATCTTAGCCGTACTTCTGTGATGCACGAAGCCTTTGAACCTTAAGAGGATGAGGATAGTCTTATTTGACCGCGTCTGGATCTCTTGTTCCACAAGATGCGGAATTGCTGGATGAAAACTGGTTCAGGTCAGGGTTATACAAGGCAGCGCAAACCTTTTAGCGACGGTGTAAGACACTAAAGCCTGGCGAGGTATGCCTCCGCGAACTTAGCTGGTTATGAAGTCATCTGAACTGCACGAGGAAAGAAGCAAAAACTGACTATTGATATTTAGTGCAGGGTGGCAATATCAATGTATGCATGCATGCAGGCGAGATGGCGCTCCTGAGTACCTGGTTGGCAAATACCCTGGCGTGGCATTATCATTCCTGTTCGCGCGGGTACTCTGATAGGATTGATTGGTGGGCAAAAGGAGGCGGGAGGATGAGGGGGGATTTATGGCTGCAGAAAGTCTATCCAATCAGGGCACAGTAACGTGCCCGAGAGAATTGTCTTCCATGAATGTGGACCCTGATGGGATACTAGTGATGCTCATCTTGATCCTCCTTTTCCTCCTCCTCGTGTTTTTTCACGATCTGGGTAGTGGCAGATTCAGTCAGATAATTCAACACGTCAATGATTCGGCGAACTGGGTACTCTTGGCATGCATAGTGATGCAATGGCTCATGCACGGGGGTCCCGAGCACTGATAGTCGTACAGCCTTCAGTCAAGCATTCCAGTCACCCAGTATAGACAGAAGTAGATTTAAGTTCATAATTGCTCTCTCTCGCCGATATATGTAGTTGTGATGTCCAGTATCGGCCACGTGACCCACGACATGCCGGTGGATACGTGCTTATCTCGTTGTCACCCGAGGTTGGCGGTGGATTCATTTACCAAAGGGAACAGCAGAATAAGAGTATGTAGAAGGTTCCCCCAAGCTCCTCCGGGTTTGGAGATGGTTGAGCGTTCATACTGGGGTTGTGTGCACGGGTACTGTATGATCCTGCAGCTCATATACTGATCGTCACGTGACTGTCGACTCTCTCGCCCTACATTGGACGCTTCCACCAATCCACCTGGGCTTGATTGATTTTCGTCAAATCATGGTGGCCAAACTGATTCACCATGCTTGACTCCTTGTTTCGGAGTCTTGGAGTAAAGGGCCGTGACGACAAACTATTCTGAGCAGTATATCGCGCACGGTGAAATGGCAGCACATTCCTTAAGCTGTAATCCGACCGTTACGTAGGTCGTGGAGGCTCGATGCTCTGGCTTCTGTATCTGCGGACAAGAACGCCCCTATTCGCTGCTGAGGTGACAGCCGTACACGAATGGTAACGCCAGCCAGAAAGCCGACTTGAACCGGACCGATCATGCGGAGGATTGCGGGTAACGCCTGTCATTTGTTGTCAAGGTAAAACTTCCGATAAACTCTTCGCCAGGTTCCAAGACCTTGTCACTCATGCGAGATAGCATATCGACAATATCCCAGTGCTGCTGAGTAACGGCCTCCCGATATAGGCGCCTGATGATCCGTGGATCCGCCACAATGTCCGCCCCCGTGTCGACGAGCAAGCGAAACTCAGCCAACTTCCCAAGAACCAACGCTCTCTCCAGGTGGGAAGCTTGCATCGCCATCGTCAGCCCGTGTTCGATGAGTAGTTCAATAAAGCGGTAACTTTGCTCGCGCTCGAGAGCGCACCCCAATGGGCCCAGTGTAAGGTTCGGAATACCCTGTCGAGGAGGTCCTGGCCTGGGAGATAGCGAAGTATTCGGACTTGCCCCGTGTTCCAGCAGAAGCTGGGCCATCTCCGGAGACCCGCAGGCTGTCGCGGCTACCAGGGCCGTGGAGTCATTTAGGGGCTTTTGATAGTCGATCTCGGCGCCTCGTGCAAGGAGATCCCGCACGCGATCAAAGTCGTCTTCCCGAGCGGCGTACCACAGCAGTTGGTGCATTTCCCTTTGACGGACCCGATGCATCGACGGATACTTGCGCTGGAGAGCGTCGTCCAGGAAGTCGCCGATCTCGTCGAAGCGCCGATGCGCCGTAAGGCCCATTGCGCGTCCCCCCGAGGCATTGACGGCCAGCAAATTGGCGCCGCGCTCGACCAGCATGCGAACGGTCTCGAGGTGACCATGATAGGCGGCGAGGTGGAGCGGGCTGTTGCCTCCCGGGTCTTTGGTATTGATGTCGGCGCCGTGCTCTAAGAGCTTCGCCACAATGCTGGTCCGGCCGTTGCTCGCCGCAAAGAGGATGGGATGCAGCTTGAACGTCTGCCGGACCTCTGGTGTCATCTGCCGGTGATATGGCGCATCGGGGTCCGGGCTGGTACAAGACCAGTATGGTGTTTTCCAGCTCACATCCACCCCGGAGTCCAGAAGACGTTGCACCACCTCGTCCGCGCCGTGCGCGGCTGCACTATTGATCGCACCTTGGCGGCCCCGCGTCCTGACGTATCTGGCGAGTAGGTAGCCGTTGAGGAAGTGATAGAGGGGATCACTTTCCATGAGCACAACCACTTCTCTAGCAGTCAGCAGGTCGGCAATCATAAAAAGCACGTCATTTGGCAAGCGAAGTAAAGACATTTCTTGAGAATATGTCTGAAACGGTACAAAGGCGTCTTCAGTATGTAGTGTCGATAATAAAGTAGGAAATGGGAAATTTGGAAATGGGTAAATGATGCTTTTGGGAACATGGCATGGGGGAGATGGCCGCGGGCCGAAGCGATAGTATGACACATGCAAATAGCATAAACCGTCTAACAGTCCAAACATGGCAAACATGATAAGCAGCGTAGAGGAAGCAAACCGAGCAAACATACCACCACCACCACATCAACACATTATTCCATCTGCCTGTCTTCTCCTCCCCACAACCTCCCTCAATAATTGCGGAGCCGTGACCACCAGATGCCACCACCTCGTCGCCTCAGACCCAAGATCTCTCTCTGGAGATGGTTCCGGTGGTGGCTTCGCCACTTGGAGTCTCCGCTGGAGTTACGCGCTAGTCTCCAGCGGCTCAAGCAACAGAACAAACACCCTTTGCTGACGCTCCTACGCATGTTCATTCCCTACCCATCCTGGTACTTCGATGTTCCCGGTGCCCATTCTCCCTCGGAGCCCTCATCCAAGATGACCAGAGCGGGACTGGGATCATTCAGCATCTCTTTGGGGATCTACATAACCTCAGAGCCATCCCCATCTGGCGCATGCGTGACACGCCACCGCGCTCGATCTACCGGCTTTACGCTCTTTTTCTCGCCGACAAGTACACTTTGATGGGCTACGAGACGGAATACTTCTTCTATCGATCAGGCTGGAAGCTCCAACACATCCCAGATCCGAAGGATCCTGACCCGCTGCGGTACGCCGTAATCGCATGTATCGTCGAGGAACTCCACCGAGCCATCAACTGGCGGCTTAGTCTGGGGCTACGGAGGAGTGGTGAACACGTGTACCGTGAAACGGACGAGGATCCGTGGCCCCCATACGTTGCGGAAGAGTTGCCGGAGTGGGCGAGGGAGGTAGCTCCGATCGACAAGGATCTACTCAGACGGTCTGTGCCGCCAGAAAAGCTGGATACGGATGGAAACCTAGTGCTCGAGGAGAACGGCTTAAGTCCCACTTTTGCCCGGCGTAATATCATCACCAACACGGGCTGGCTCTACACAATCTAGCCCAACACGCTTCGAGATCCTGCCCCCCGGGTCTCCCCGATGTCTCCACCCAGCTCCGCGTAGTCCTGCCCGACATCATTTGAAGATATCCTCATTGTATTTCTGCTGGTACTCGCGCGAGACCCGTTGCATGGTCTCATAGCTCGGGAGGACATCGAATCCGTTCATGTTCATCCTGCGGACTGACTCTTGGTCAAGCGGGCCTTTGTTGCGTAGCTTCAGCGCCTTGAGAAGCGCCAGTGCGTCCTCCATGTCGCATTCCGCCTTTCTGCCCCGGTCCGCGGCATGGATTCTCCTCAGCTTCCGCTCCAGTGCCCACTCCAGGGGAGCGGCCAGAACCTCGAGGTTTTCCCCGCTGAAAAGCACGATATTCTGTTTCTCGGCTTCTTCGAAGAGAGTCTGCCGGGCCTTCTTGGTGACGAAAATGGCCATGTCCTCGTTGATCCATTTGTTGGTGAAGCCCTTCTGGCGCGCAACGGACCGAATGGCCTTTTGCAGGGGCACTTGAATGTGCTGGTCCCCAGCGAATTCCAGGTCACGGAGATAATCAATATCCCCCGTGCTCTCACGGCTCCGGAGATATGTCACCGCAAGGAACCCGCCGGCTGCGATCGGTCGGATTGGGGCGAACGCAACAATGAACTCGTCGGAGCCCACCTCTCTGTCCAGCGCCGTGAGTCCTTGAGATCCGTGGGAATCATTAGCGGCGTCCATCCTGCAAAGCCGTTACAAAGAGTAAACACTATCTTCCCCTCGAGAAAATCGCTCTCCGTCTGAAACTCTTTCAGCTATGCCATAGTTGCAGGTCTTCTTGTCCCAAAGTCGGCATCTGCGACGGATGACTGGAGGTGAGAAGGAACAACGGATAATGAGAAGAGGATTGCGAAGTATTCTTCAGCTGGCGAAAGTATGTTTTGTACTGGGCCCGAGCGCCCCTTCCCTGCAATCATTCCACAGTGGTGTACTGGTTCAAGTCCTTGTTGGCAGATCAAAGCGCCTCAGGAAGGCATCATGCAAGTGGATGTTGGCGCCTGCCGCTCCGGCTCAGGCGCTATGTTGATTGAGTCGAACTGCCGTCTATTCACTTGAGCTGTGGTCGGAGCCCAGGCTCGGATTCTTGACCCTGGTTCTCATTCACCACTCATCGGGCCTTGTAAATACGCACCATGGTGAGGCCTATCTCCATCCATGCTCCATATCCCAGAGCAGTCATTCGCCTCCACAATACAAACCATCATTCTGTGTGGAGCGGGTGGAGCAACGCGGCAATTCCCGGGCGGATCTGAATGGGACGGCGGGGCATGTTTATGGCCTTATCTCTCAGGAAGCAATAATCCACTCTACCGTCCGATACCGTAGCACAACTGCTCCATTCGTTGAACCGGAAAGACCTTTGTATCCTCCCTTGAGCTTTGCAAGATAGCAGTCGATCCTCGTAGACTTCGCGATCAATGGGATGATACCATCATCATCACCATCATCTCTTCGACAAGTCCAACGACTCCCCAAGCCGACCGATGCCTGCGCCTTCAAGCTCAACCCTAAAACTTATATATCCCCCGGACCGTCACCCACGGCCTACAGTCTATCTCCTCCTCATCCTGCCCCAGCCTCCACACCCGATCCAAGGCGCGCTGATCTTCAGAACCATGGCGCGGGACTGCTGCGGGGCTGTGGGGTCGAAAAACCATGGGCGCGCCCGGTCCATGTCCCTGCGTCGGGATGGGTGGCGTGTGCGCGCGGGCCGAAGATGTTGGCGAGGAATTAGCGGGGGATATGCTGCTATCGGTTGTCTCAGGGGAACAAGCTCGTGGGGTTGTGAGGCGCTCGGGGGTAGTCAAAGGGTGGCGGGATGGCGCGGTCCTGGGGGGCATGCGCCATGCCTTGCACCAACCATGTTAGCTTTCGATTATGGCAAAATTTGCCGTCAAGGTGCGGGCGAGGGGGGGGGGGGGGGGGGGGGGGGGGGGTTACTATGTCTAGGGTCTGCTGGTCGTAGTTGGGGTCAAGATGTACTGGACTGCAGCAGGGTTTCTCACTCTCTCGTTAGACCTCTCTATGCGCCTGTTTGTCCACATCGTCCACGCTATTATACATGCACTTATGCGGGGACTCAAAGGATGATCATGCCTGCCACGGCGTGAAAATCGTATATACCAGCCTGTGGTTTTACATAATCCTCGAGTAGGCTTGCAGGATCCGTACCTGGCTCAAGGGTAGTGCAGTAAATACAATAGGTCTGGCTACATCTATCTCTATACCGCAACCATCTTCCCCCCCGTCTAGAACATACCAAATGTGCATATTTACAGCAGCCTCTTACTTGGCGATCTCCACACCATTCGTCGCACCTAAGCGTCCAGAGTCAGCGTCCGTGATCCACCAGGAAGGGTAACTAGACTTACCAAGAGCCTTCTTAATGTCACCGTAGATGGCGAACTGGCCGGCCGTGAGACCACCGATCATGAACAGACGAGTGGGCAGGCCGGCGAAGGAACCACGAATGCCGAGCTCGCCCGCGATCTTGACGAGACGGGAGACGGTGCTCTCGCCGGGGAGACCCTTGGTCTTGTTGATCTTGGACAGCATCGTATCGGCGGGCTGGGAGATGATGGCCGCCGCGAACCCGGCAATGAGACCCGATCCCAGGTTGACGCCGGTCTGGGCGCCGTTGGACAGCTTGGACTTGTCCAGACGAGCGAAGACAGCCTCGGAAACCTTCTCAAAGGCCACGAACTTCGTCACGGTGTAGGGGACCCTATATCGTGTCAGTGATTGCTGTTACTCGCGCAGTCTCTCGATTGGCCCAACGTACTGCTTCAGGAGAATCGGACCGAAACCACGATAGAAGGCACCGACGCCCTCGTTCTTGAGGATCTTGCCGAACCCGCTGAACAGACCAGTGGCGAAGCCAGGCTCGGAGACAAGACGGATACGCGTAGCCTCGAGCGGGCAGAGAGCGATCGAGGCGAAGAACTCGGCGCAGGCGGCGGAGACCGAGTAGACCGCGATGCGGTTCTGGCGGGCCTTGTCCAGACCGATGACGTTGATGGATTGCTGCTTGAAGAACTCGTAACCTCCAAATTTGAAGGCGCCCTGCATGAAGTACCCGGCAAAGGTTGGGCCGAAACCGGTCAAGAGAGCTCCCGCGCCCTCGTTCTGGATCACCTGCCGGAAGCCACCAATCATACCACGGTTGTAGGTTGCGGGGTCGAGCTGGATCCGGGTCTTGACGCTGTAGGAGTGGGGGGTGTTAGTAAGTGATGAAGATGAGATACTGGAGATGGAACGACGTACACATCGACCGGAGTGAAGGCACCGTGAGTCACCGAGCAGCAGACGGCACCGGCAAAAGCGAACCGCGCGTAAAGGCCAAGGCCCTCAGCCTTGTTCTGGGCAACGGGAGACACAGCCATTTGCAGTGCTGATGAAGGCGCGCAACTGGAAGGATTAGGGGATGGGAAAAGGAATAATAGGTGGTCCTGCACAAATCTGGGATGAGTGAGAAAAGGTTGAAGAGTAAGCAGAGCAGGTTTCCGTGTTGTTGACAGTTTGCTGTTTGCTACTGCGGTCAGCATCCGACTAGCGGCTGGCACGTGTTTTGGGGGTTGCACCGGCGATTCCTTCGGCGTATTTATGCCCTGTTCGGCGTTTGACACTTTACCTTTGTAATTTATGACTGTGGGCAGTGGAGCGATCATACAACAGCGGGTGGCGCCTCTTCCCGTCACGGGTGTTACTAGCGGGTCCCGTGACCGCCAAAGCACGCCAGGGTTGCTACTATAAATAGCACAGACCCTCACCTCATCTTCCAAAGAGATCTCTGGTAACTGAGATATGGCATATCTAACCTGTATTTATATATATATCTACCCTAGATCTTATCTAGTGTGATCGTGATATCTTATGAATCCCCTATTCCGGCGGGAGGGAATTTGATGCTGTTGAACAAGTGATGTAGATGAATATATATTCATGATGGGGCGAAGATCACAGCTCAAATGCACAATACTGCACTACCACCGCTCCATCAAGCCCTCGACTTAGCCCCCTGATCCAAACGTCCATCTTCCACCCTTAGCGCTGGGTTCCTCGAAAAGATACTGAGAATGGACAGGTACGCGTCCATGACCACCTCCGCATCCCGGGGCCCGTACCGCCCCGCCTGCAACTTGACCGTGATCAACGGGTCCTTGGACGGGTCATCGCTCATCTCGAGGGTGATATCGTACGGCGATCCCGCGCGCGGGGTGCGCGAGTCCACGATCTTGGCCTCCCCGATGGTGCCGCTCTCCGCCTGGCCCTGCTTGTAGTCGAAGACGGCCTGGAACAGCGGCGCGTGGGAGTGCGGGTCCGCTGCGGAGGGGGCCGGCAGCCCCAGCCGCTCGAGCATCGCCCCGTAGGGCACGGCGCTGTGCAGTAGCGCCGCGCGCATCTGTTCCTTCGTGGCCATGAGGACCTCGTTGAAGATCTGGTCCGCGTGGTAGTGCATCCGCACGGGCAGGAAGTCAGCGAAGAAGCCCATCGTCGCCTGGTCGGTGCCCGTGGGCCGGTTGGTGTCCGCCACGCCGACGACCACGTCCGTGCTGGAGGACAGGCGCGCCAGCAGCACGACGTACGATGCCAGGTAGTAGTGCATCGGTGTCACCTTGTGCTTGCGGCTGCGGTCCTTGATGCGCACGGCGACCATCCGGCTGAGGCGGGCGGACACCTCGTGCTCGGTCCAGGTGGTCGGCGTGGCGCTCGCGTGGGCCTCGGGGACGTTCAGGGTCTGCAGTCGAGCGGGAAGGGTCTCGAAGAGGCCGCCCCAATACTGCAGGTCCTCGGTGAATGCGCCGGATTCGAGCTGCTTGCGCTGGCGGAGGGCGAAGTCGGCATAGCTCGGCGCCGCCTCCAGCTGGACGCCCTCGTACAACTGGCCGACCTCGACGAAGAGGCGTTCGGTCGTCCAGCCATCCCCGACAAAACGATGGTAGGCCATGATCAGAAGGTGATCGGTGGGCGACCACTGGAAGACGACGATCTTCCGGGTGTCGCCCTTCGCTATATCGTACTTGTAGCTTTCCAGATCCTTGAACCCTTGCTCGGCGGCGGCTTTGTCTGCCACTTTGACCACTTCGAAGTGCACTCGCGGGGACCGCAGGATGGCTTGGATGGGCTGCGCCGCGCCGTCCGGATCGGCGATGAAACAGGTACGGAACGCGTCGTGCCGCTGTAGTGCTTGATTGAATGCCCATCCGAGACGGTTCAGATTGAGGGGTCCATGCAAGTAGATGCCGATGGTGCTGTTGAACGTCGCCGGATCCAGGGGAAGTTGCTGTTGTTTCCAGGCGTACTCCTGCGTGAGGGAAAGTGGCACTTGTCGTTCAAAGCCATCTTCATCGCAGGAGCGCGGAGATGGGGGCGTCGGAACATCGTCGTAGTCGACGACAGAGAACGAGGATTCGTCGGACGCACCCACAGTCGACAACGGCGGGATAGGCTGCGCCTCGGTGGCAGACTGTGCTGCATCTTCCAACAACGTAGAATTAGCCAGGGGGATAGCTTCAGGTGTCAAGCGGGAGACAGCCTCGTCGATCAGGTCAGCGGCCGAAGCACCACCAAGGATCTTCAGAAGGGGAATTTCGATGCTCAGGTTCTTGGTGAACCATGAGCCGACGGTAACGGCGCTGAGCGAATCCACGCCCTGATCAATCAGAGGCACGGTCAGATTGAGTTCATCCGCAGCAGTGAGCTGTAAAGCTCCCCGGATCCTGCCGGAGAGGCCGTCAAGGATGATGGCGCGAACGTCTTCCATAGTCTCGGCCTTGAGAAGTTGGTCTTTGACGGACCCGACCGCCCCAGCGGCGTCCTCGCCGTTGGTGTGGTGATCGGACAGCTTGAAATACGCAAAGCGTGGGTCGTCGAAGTAGGGGATTCGGTCGTGGTTCGCAGGATCCATGTAGGGCATACCGGTGATGACCTCGACATCCGTCGTCTCCCAGTTGCGACCAGCAACGACGGCCTCTGCAAAGAGGGAATGCAGTTCCCATTCGTTGACCTCGTCGAAGATGAACTTGACGACATCGTACTCGTGTTCGCGTCCCGCTCTTGCAATGAAGCCAACACCGAACACGGCGCCAATGTCGATGGTCGATGCAGCCATCCCCCGAGCGCGTCTTTGCTGAGCAAGCGCGTGCGTGTATGCATTCGCAGCGCTGTACGCCGCCTGTCCCGGATTGCCGGAGACCATGACGAAGGAGGAGAACATGACGAAGAAGTCCAGCGGGTTGGCAGGATCCGAGAGACGCTCGTTGAGCAGACGAGCTCCCGTTACCTTGGGCGCAAGCACCATCTCCAGCATCGGCAGGTCCATGTTCTTGAACATGACATCCTGGAGGACAAGTGGTCCAAAGGCCACACCGGCAATCGGCGGCATAGAGGCCCGGACTCGAGCGAGACCTTCGTCGACCGAGGCCTCGTTGGAAACATCCCTTGAATCCAATTAGCGACAACACAGGCCATGAAAGTTGAAAAGAACTTACATCGGTAGAACCATCACGTTGCCCCCAAGCACGGTAATGTCGTCGATCCAGCGCTGGTCAATCTTAGGAGAGCGACTTGACAAGACCACATGGCGTGCGCCGCGCTCGATCATGAAGCGAGCAATCGAACGACCCAGATCACCAGCAAGGCCAATCAGCAGATACGTCTTATTGTCCACGAATATCTGATCGGTCTCCATTGACCGGACACGGCTGGGGATGATCTGATCTGACTTCCAGTCGACAACTGCATTCACCTCCGGACCCTCTCTCAAAGATAGTATCTCACCACCCTTGAATATCGACCCACCGTGGCTGTTGCTGACCTTGTTTGCTACTCTGACAGCCTCCGCCAGAGACTGAGACGCGGCCGCACTTTCGACGGAAATTGGCGTAGCAAAGTTCTGGAACAAATAGTCGATTCGGCGAATAGAGCAGCTTGACGGGAGGCATCTCTCCAGCCGGTGGTTTAGGCTTGCGGGATTTTTTTCGGGAGACAAATCATAAAACACTGAAGCGTTCAGCGGCAGCTTCTGGCGAAGGTTACGCTGCGTCTCTTTCTCGTGCAGTCGGATCCACCGGATACCGTCCGACCCCGGAGCAGCCTTGATGGATACGAAGGCGAGTGGGATACCAGCAGCCGCTGCGCGACGGCTCAGAGGCTCGACATAGAGCATGGGGGGCTCAAAGATCAGTACGGATGACCCGGCAGCAAGGTCCGACAGCAGGGTCTGTGCGATGAGTTCTGCTGCGATGCCTGGAAGCACAGAAGTAGTCAGTTCTGCCTTGCTGGTGATGTAAACAAGCTGGTGGGAAGCGACTTGAACAGAGGAAGCGTTGGTCTCAGAGAGAGCCACCACAGTGCCGTCGAATCCAGCAACCCTGCCCTGAATCAGATAGAAATAGCCCAGCTGGCCGATTCTGATCGCTTTGGCAAGAGAGTACTCCACCTGGACCGTCACAAAGGTCTCGTCAACAGCCAGGGGCACAAAGCGCTCCTCATGGAACCTGAAGAAAGGCTCCTCGTCATCGTATTCCAGAGTCAGCGTCTCCTGTCTCGGATCCAGATCGACCAGAATGGGACGGCGGCCGGAGTTCAGTCGATTATTCCTGTCGACATCCGGCTTGAGCCGCGGCACAACAACGTTGCCATCAGACAAGTACAGTTCGGGCTCCTCTGTCCACAGAATACCGCTCTCCTGCCAGTTCGTACCATCTTCCAGCCGCAAAACGGTCTCAACCAGCACCTCGGGTCGCAGATCCTTTGCCTTCTTCACATCCAGCACCTGGATATGCACGTCCGGATATTCCATGCGGAGCGTGCGAAGGAGGCCGATGGTCATGGCTTGCTGAGGATTCTCAACCCAGGCATCCTCCGTGACCCACAGGACATGGTTGGCGGCGTTGAAGATGGTCTGCAGGGCATCGAGTTGCTCCTCATCGAACCGCGCAAACGTATGCTGATCCAGCTCCGAGAGCACCATAAACGTGGACCCTGGCTGATAGTCGAAGTCGATGATCTCCCGGATGGTGGGGACAGTCTCCCATGTGCGCGCTGGCAAGATGACTGGAAGCTGAGCCACGAGCGCACTCGTCTTCGGCGAGGAACCCCCAATCACCACCAGTGGCGCGTAGGACTCCTTGACGGAGGCCGCCAGTGGCGAGTCCAGCCTTTGCACCAGGTCGTCGACCGCGTGAGTAGCGAACACGCCGTTGGGGAAAACCCTGCTGTCCGGGTCAAGCGTGCGGCTATCGACTCCCGAAAACCCCGTCTTCCTCAGCAGTGTGTCCCACCGGTCATATGAGATAAACGGTTCAAGGACACGCCCTTCGTCGTGCCCAGCCCACCAATCCGGGAACAGACCGAAGATGAATCCGATACGAGTGTGCTCACGGTGTGCCACTTCAATGACCACCAACCGACCCCCGGGCTTGAGCAGTGATCGCACATTGGCCAGAGTCTCTTCGAGCCTCGGCGTGGCGTGGAGGACGTTGGAGGCAATGATCAAGTCGTACGAGTTGGGCTTGAAGTCCTGCTCGCTGGGCGGACGGCGGATGTCGAGCGGGCGGAAATCCATCTTGTCCGCATGCTGCTCGAACTCCTTGGCCGCCTGCTCGAAGAACGCGCTGGAGATATCCGTGAAGGTGTAGCTGTTGAACGAGATTTGTTGGTGATTCAAGAAATACCGTGTCGCACCCCCAGTACCGGCGCCTTTTCTTTGCGTCAGTGGCCGCATTGAAGTGGATACGCTTCACTTACCAATTTCGAGAACATCCAGGTTTTGATACCGGTGATTGATCTGCGCAAGGAGTCTTTGATAGTAGTGGTAAGAATGCCCGTAGCTGACGGTGCCGCCGTAGAATTCGGTGAGCAAGCCATCGTGGTCCATCAGGTCAAAGGCGTTCTCGTTGTTGCGAAGGGTCTCCAAGGCGCCTTCGCCGACTCTCTGGATGAGGCGGACGAAGGGATGCGCCACGTTTCTGCGTCGTAGGTTGGTCAGCATTTCTTTTTATCCCAGTAAAGGGAAGGCTCACTCTCGAATCATGTCCTCGATATCAGCTTTCGTGTCCTGCTCCCAGCCTGCTTCGTACCACACATTGCGGCCCGCCTCGGTCTCGGCGATGATATACTCGCACCACTGGATATGCTTCGTGAAGTGAAAGGCGGCGTTCTCGCGGTCTTCCGCCGTGAGGCTCGCGAGGAACGCTTTGATGTACCAGTACGTAATTCGCTCAATGACTGCCACGTCCTTCCTGTCCTGCTCGGTGGCGTGGTATTTGCTGTCATCGAGCAAGGGCTCAGGGTTGATGGGACCCCAGCTCCACTTGGAGAACATTTCATGGTCATCGGCAGCCGAGAGCGGGGAGAATGGCTTGAAGCTGAGGCCCTCGATGTGGATCATGGTGGCGTCGGTCTCCGGGTCGAAGACTTCAATGTCTCCTGCCACGGTGTTTCCGACGCTCGCCGCACTGGTGGAGATGAACTCCACCTGGCTGGACAGGGCGTGGATTCGATCCGCGACCCACGGGTTCAGCGCAATGCGGTCAATTCCAGTCGGCACCAGGAGAGATCGCAGGCGTCGGTCGCCAGGGGCAGTGTATGCTCCGATGAAGCTTTGGAAGGCCACGTCGAGGGTGGCAGGATGGAGGACCATGTTGCGGTGGTTGTCCTCCAGACGGTGGAAGGCGATGGTGCCGCAAGCCTTGCTGTCGCCGCGTCTGAGGTTGCTGACGCCGCGGAACTGCTTGGTGTACCCGTACCCGATCTCACTGAGCATGGTGTAGAATCTGTCGATGCTAACATTGTTCAGGTGAGGCGGCTCGCCCTGTGGGGGAGGAAGGCTTTCAGGTGATCCTGATCCATAGGTCACAGCGACCGTCCCAGCCGCCGAGCGAGTAAGACCGGTTTCTCTGGCGAGGCAAGAGTTGATGACGAAGCTGTACACAGCGTAAGTGTCTGTGGTCTGCGATAGGTCGATGTCTAGAGTGAGGTTGATCTCGACCATGCTGTTCTCGTCCTCAAACGTCACGGCCTTGTCGATCGAGAGGTTCAGGACTTCCAGAAGCTGAACCTCTCGATCACCGGCCTGCTTCACGGCAGCCTCCATGGCCATGACCACGTATCCTGCGCCCGGAAACACAGTCTGGCCCTGTAGGGAGTGGCCATCGAGCCATTCGATATCACGCTGCCGGATAAAGTTCTGCCACTGTATCGATGACGGACTGCTGTGGACGAGTTGCTTGCCGAGCAGAAGATGGGGGCGTTCTGCTCCAAGCCAACTGCGAAGCGCGCGGGACTCCTTTCGGTACGAGCGGTGATGGTCCCAAGTATAGCACGGAAGTTCTTTGGACAAGTCTTGGGTATCGACATCCAATGAGAGACTGCTGTACAGGCTGTCGACGTCGACAGCAGCTGAGCCAAAGCGCGACCATATGTAGCCCAAGCACGAAGAGTAGGCTTCAACGTCATCCTTGCTCCGCTCCATGCAGCCCACATATGGAAGCGGAGCACCGGCGCAGTTTTCAATGGTCTGGAGACTAGGATTCTTCAGAGCCGGGTGAGCTCCCACTTCGACGCAAATATCGAGCGGCATGTGCTTTACCAGGGCCTGTTCGACGGCATAAGAGAAAAGAACGGGAGAGAGTAGGTTAGCACTCCAATACTCAGCCTTGAGATCCTCAGTCTTCATGAGCTTGCCTTCGTAGACCGACGAGATCCAGGTGGCCGTGGGTGCGACATCCATACTGAACTCGTCGCAGCCACAAGCTTTGAGAGCTGCAACATAGGGCTCGGCGCAAGGACGCATGTGGTGAGAGTGGTAAGCCTTGTCCACCTTGAGGAGGCGGTTGAACTTTGACTCGTCGTTGAAAATCTCTTGAGCCTCGAGGATGGCATCTCTGTCTCCGGACAGGGTAACGCTTTCCGGCGCATTGCTTGCTGCCACAGTCATTCTGCCCTCAAAGGCCTCGAGAGCGCATAGGTCAACTGCATCGTCAAAGGAGGTGCCTGCGGCCATCATAGCGCCCTCGATACCGTTCGGCCCACCTGCATGCCTCGACGTGAGGCCGCGAAGGTATGCAATCCGAATTGCTTGGGACGCCGATATGAAGCCGGCGGCGAATGCGCAAGCAATCTCTCCCGAGCTGTGGCCGACGACAACCTTGAACGTCACTCCGGAAGCTTGGAGAAGCTTTGTGAGCATGATCTGGACGGCACAGCAGAGAGGTTGCGAGAAGGTGGCGTCATGTACATTGGAGTCTGCCCCCTCGAGGAAGAGCTGATCCAAGAGCTTCCACGTGGGCCGGTATTCCTCTGGCAAGTCCTGCAAAGATTGGTCCAGCTCTAGGATAATATCGCGGGCATAAGGCACTTCCGAGATGAGAGCCTTGCCCATGGTCGGCCACTGGGCACCCTGACCGGTGAAAATACCAAGCACTTCGGGCTTGGTCTTGACATCCGAGACCGTTGCGATGCTCTGCTTCCCTTGCACCAAAGCGGCATCGCGCTCGAGAGCCTCGCACAGAGAGTGCACCGTCTTGGCTGGGATAGCATGGCGGACTTGAAGGTTCGATCGCTTTCTCAGCAGTGTCCAGGCGAGGTCTTGTAGGCGTAAGCTGGGCTGGCTTTTGATAAATTGACTCAACTCCTCCATAGAGGCCTTCAGCGAGGCTTCTGAATTGGCGGAGAGCGTGATCGGGGCAAGGGATGGGGTTGGGGGCGCATCAATTGCTGGTTTCGAGGCGGGAATATAGGACTCCACGATTACGTGGGCATTAGTACCGCCGAATCCGAACGAGTTGACACTCACTCGTCGCGGTTGGTTGGACTTGAGCTCGGGCCAGGGCTGGAGTTTCGTGACTAGCTGGAGATCGGAGTAAAATGGCGCCACCCTCGGGCTTAGCTCATTGAATAGCATATTTGGCGGTAGTAGACCATGCTGAATGGCCTGCGAAGCTTTGAGCAGGCCGGCAATACCAGCCGTACCCTCAGTATGCCCGATGACAGTTTTGATGCTACCCACGTACAGAGCGTCTTCATCGACAGCACGCTGCCTGTCCCCGAAGAAAGCAGAAGAGATGGCTTGGGCTTCTTGAGGATCCCCTGCCGGAGTGCCTGTTCCGTGCGCTTCGAAGTATTGGCAGCGGTCTTCGGGCTTGGTCACATCGAGGCCTGCTCGCTTGTAGACTTCGCGAATGAGAGCTTCCTGTGCTGCATGGTTCGGCATTGTGATTCCCGCAGTTTTGCCGTCTTGGTTGATGCCGCTCTCACGAATAACACACTCGATAGTGTCCCCGTCTGCGATCGCCTGACTGAGAGTTTTCAGGACGACCGCGGCAACGCCTTCGCCTCTAGCATACCCATCCGCGGCAGCATCCCACATTCGAGAACGGCCAGTGGGTGAGAACATGTTCAGCTTACTGGCTGAGATAAATGGAACCGGACCCAGGATCAAGTTCGAGCCAGCAGCAATGGCGACCTGACTTAAGCCCGTTCGAAGGTGCTCGATGGCGTGGTGGACAGCGACGAGGGAGGAGCTGCAGGCGGTATCAAAAGTCATACTCGGACCGTGCCAATCGAAAACGTAGGAAACTCTGTTGGAAAGAATAGATGCGGATGTGCCGGTGGCGGCATAGATGTTGAGGGCATCGAGATCGTAGTTTTGGTGGTCGAGGAAATCACGTTGCATCATCCCAACGTAGACGGCGGTGGGAGAGCCTCGAAGGTCTTCTACCTTGAGGCCCGCAGAGGAGAGACCTTCGTAGACGGTCTCTAGGAGGAGACGCTGTTGAGGATCGATCGTGTCGACTTCATTGGGTGGAATGTTGAAGAAAGATGGGTCAAAGGTGTAAGGGTCTTCGTCAAGAAAGTAGGCAAATCGTGCGTTCGTGCGACCATGGTGGGCTCCATCAGGATGATAGAAAGCATCCACGTTGAACCTCTCCTTAGGGACTTTCCTCCCCAAGTCCCTCGGGGTCTTCAGAAGTTCCCAGAGCTTCGAAGGACTGCTGGCACTACCGGGAAAGCGGCAGCCGCTGCCAACGATTGCAATAGGCTCATTGCGACGTGCTTGAGATTGGGTCATGGCGGCGAGAATGGTCTTTCACCGGCCTCAATGTGTTGAAACTATGAAGTTGCAAGTCCAGACAGCGTCTAACTCTATCCTTTAGTAGGCCCATCATGAGCTTCACGAGAAGCTAAGATCTGACCGGGCCTTTGGGGGAGTGTCCCGGGGCCAGGTTCGGCGTATAGAACAATGCTAGCCGTGCGATAAGCCCGTTTCCGAACTTGCAGTGCGTTCACCGAATTAGGCCATCACCGGCATTTTGTGGAAAAAATACTCTCCCTGAAAAATCTGTGGCGCCGATACTGAAAGGCGAGAAAGGATTTGAGAAACTAGCTTAGGGCAGGTACTGGCTCCGCAGTCCACCGTAAGCGGTCTCGCAATGATGGACAGGATCTGTGAAAACAAAACATCAAGAATACGGAGAAGCAGGTCAGACAAAGCTGCAGACAGATAGTCTTTGATCTTCATTCTTAGTCATAGGCATCAATTACATCATTCGAGATACATGCATGTTTACCGCTGAGCCTTTCTACTGGGCTCTCTGTCCGCCTGAATTACTGCTCAACTTGCCATGTCAATTGCAGACATTTCCGACAGTCTCAGGATGTGCTTCACCACCTCCCCAACCTCGTCCTTTCGTGTTGGCAGATGATGGGCGGTGTCCGTTCGAATGATTTGAGCGAAGCTCGGCCGATAGTGGTTTCTCACGAGCTTTCGTGCGCGACCAAGACAGAAGTCTCTATTGCCGTGTATGTGAAGCGTGGGAATGTCAATGTAGGCTTTGCTCAGGCCATAAGCCTGGGCCCTTGCGTTCAGCCACAAGGACGCTTCGTTAGGAAAGAAACAGCAGCTCATCACGGCAAACCGTAGCTGTCCTATCCATGGCACTAGACCCTGTTGTTGCTGCCAGAGCATCATTGCAAGGGCGAGGGCACCCTCTGAGAACCCAATCGCCCCGACGATCTCGACATCAGGATGACCTGCTTGCCATTTATCCACCGTCAGCTTGACAGCCGCGTTGATCTTTTTCAAGCTCTCGTCGATAGTGGTGCCGTCGCCGCCAAACCAGCAGTAATATGGCTCTTGGCCGCCAAACATAGGCAGGACTCCGGGTCCTGCAGCGCATTCCATCGGCCCGTCAAGGAAGATGAACTCGAACGCGTCTCCCAGTAGATAACAGATTCTCGCCATCTGCACGTTGAAGATGGCTCCCTTCGAGCCCGTCCCATGGAAGCACAGAAGGGCTTTGGAGGGTACCCTAGTCATTCTGATTCCCTCGTTAGTGCATGATCAAGAGTGAGGGCAACGATTTGCGACTAACATGGTTGCACTAAACCGGCTCTCGTGTGTCCGCGTTCTAGCTTTTTTTTTTGATAGTCGATGAGAACTACTTGCTTCGAAGAAGATTACCATCGAGCACTCCTATCAACAGACACATAGGGAAATCGGGAAATGTTCGTTTCTTTGGGGGTACTACGGGGCCCATAAACCGAAACGCCGAAGAAGGCCGAACGGCGTGGCAGATTGCCGATATGCTCTGCGGGCCGCCGGCAATCTCCCGCTCGCTGCCCACCAGGTAGTGTGTTCCCTGCGTTCTTCGGTTCACGTGGGCATAATCAAATGTAATGGAGTAGGGGCCACTGCGCACTCACAGTAAGGCTTCGGGCCCTCGATAAGGGAGTTTGATAGACTTTCACTAACACTGAATCCACCTGGTACTACCTGTTCAGCTCAAGATTCGGAAGGACGCCTATCATTCTACTGACTGACAATGGGGTCAATTGAGACTGCAGCACTTGTGCCTCCAACAACCCAGCGTGCGGTAATCGTGGAGGCTGGAGATCAGGTGCGTGTACGAGACGATGTGCCCTTCCCTACGCTTGAGAAGGACCAGTTCTTGGTCCGGACGGAAGCCGTGGCTGTCAACCCCAGCGACACCAAAATGCGTGGCCCCTTCGTGACTCCTGGTGGTGTTCTGGGCACGGACTATGCCGGAACGGTCGTCGCCTGTGGCCCAGAGGTCACAGAGATACAGGTTGGCGACAGAGTGTGCGGAGCTCAGCATGCCATGAACGCCAACACTCCTCATCGTGGTTCATTCGGAGAATACAACATCTCTGCGGGCAAGATCTGGTTGAAGCTACCTGCCTCCGTCAGCACTGAAGGCGGTGCTACCTTTGGCGCCGGGATCAGCACTGCAGGACTGGCGTTGAAGCTCCTAGGGCTGCCTCTGCCCGATGCTCCAGTGGAGAAGCCGGCATACATTCTTGTGCACGGCGGCAGTACCGCGACCGCAACCATTGCTATCCAGCTGCTGAGGCTGTGAGAGAACACCATTCATTCCCAAGCTGATATCGCGAAGCTCGTGCTGACCCGTCTAGCATAAACATGATCCCAATCGCGACCTGCTCGCCAAAGAATTCAGACCAAGTCAAAGCCTACGGTGTCGAAGCGACCTTTGACTATCGCGACCCGGACTGCGCGATGAAGATTGTAAGGCCATCTGCTTTCCATCCCACCACGTTGGTCGCTTTCGTCTCCATACACCCGTTCTTACTGACCGATCCTCCTCACACAACCAGAAAACCTACACGAAGAACAACCTGCGCTACGCGCTCGACTGCATCACGACCGCGGAATCCACCAGCCTCTGCTACGCCGCCCTGGGTCGAGCTGGCGGCAAGTACGTTTCCCTGGACCCGTTTCCGCAGCACGCCGCCACGCGCGCCACGGTGAAGACCGACTGGGTTCTTGGTCCATCTATCTTCGGTGACGGGTCTACGTGGCCCAGTCCATATGGCCGACCGCCGAGTGAGGAAATTCGTGCTTATGGCGAGAAGCTGTGGGCGGTTGCCCAGAGGTTGGTCGATAGCGGTGATCTGAGACATCATCCCGTGCGGGTTCTTGAAGGTGGGCTCGACCAGGTGTTGGAGGGTATGGAGTTGGTGAGGAGTGGGCAGCTTTCGGGGGAGAAATGTGTGGTTCGTCTAGTCAGCTAGTTGGTTGCATAGGGTAGAAGTTGTCAATAATCACCACACTTAACACTGCAATATATCAGAAGAAAGCAGATTCCCAAGATAAGGAGGTAGCTATCCCTACCGCTCTGGTGTATTGTGAAAAATAGACGAATTGTAACGCGTCTGTTGAGGTGGTGTCCTGCGATGTATTTTATCGATGGTTGCATAAGTGCAACCCTCACCTCGATATATCCTTGTGACCTGGGAAGATGCAATCTATTGGTTAACCCTCATTCACTCGGGTTCCTAATCTAATTCACGGAATTCAATAACACGGCAATGAATTCTTCAGATTGTAAGACCACTACAATTCTCCTTTCGAGGCATAAATCATTGCCCTAGGCCGTCCTATATTATCCGATCGGGTTTCGAATATCTACTTTGCGATACAGACACTTCTCCATTCATAGCTTTTCTCTCCATTCTTAACTTTTCAGATCCGCACAGGGTGTGACTGAGGTGCTGAACGGTGATCATCTCAGGCAATTGAAAAGCCTATTGACGAACAGAAAGGTCTCTTCGCTCATGGCAATATGATTCTCCCCCACTTTTAAAGTCCGCCAGCCGCTGTTCATCTACCAGACATCACGCAGAGACGGTTTTTAGCTTCTCTTTCTCAAGCATCCTTTTCTCGAAGCTGGTCCATGCTCGCGTCGGGCCTGAAAGTAATCTTAGCCTCCACGCCCTCCTGCTTCGCCAGCACCGTCTCCTTGATCTTCCATTCCTTGGCCGGTTCAACAAGTTGAATCTGTGGTCGACTGTCAGTCTATTCCCGAAACAGCAAACACATAACTTGCAGCATAGACTCACATCAAAAAGGAAATACAAGGTTGCAATGAGCTTGTACATTTCACATTTGGCAATGTTCTTACCCATACACGCCCGGTCGCCGGCGCCCCACGTCAGATCGGCTTTGTTCATTTTGTGTAGCCGTTCAGCATACTCCTCGTCGCTCTCAGAGGGACGTTGCAGCCAGCGCTCGGGTTTGAAGTCGTGCACATCATCGCCATAGGCGTCCTTATCGAAATGGGTCGACCACCCTGAAACCGCGACTGCGGTGCCCGGGGGCAAGATGTGACTATCCTCGAGCGTGAGACCAGGACCTGGGGGGACCGCGCGTCGCGATAGCATCGCTCCGATCGGATGGCATCTGAAAGACTCGCGTATCACCGCATCCAGGTAGGGCATCTTGTGGATCAGAGCCCAAGGGGGCGGCATCCGGAGCCCGGACGATTTCAGCTCTGCGTGCAGCTTGGCTGCAACCTCGGGATGCTTGCCCAAGAAGTAGCTGACGGAGGTGAGGCCGATGGTCACCGTGTCCGCCCCGGCGAGCAGTGGGGTGGTCGCGTAGCCATGAACCACCCGCTCATCGACAACGTTCGAATGCTTCGTCTGGGTGTCCAGGATCTGGGAGAGCAGGTCCTCGCGATCTGCGGCGCTTGCCGCCCCGTTGGCCCGCCGGCTCTGGATGAGCTCCCGTGCGCGCCGTGGGAACGAGCCCATGCGTTTCTCGAACACTTTCGTGATGGGACTGCCCTTGAGCACAGAGTGCACCCACGGCATACACGCTGCCTAACGAAGTTGTCAGCCATAGCGCGGAATCTTACACGAGTGTTGCCTACCATGGCTCGATAGGTTTGAGCTGCATCGACCCCTCGAAACATGCCCTCTCGATCCGCTTCGCCTCGGATAAGGCCGAAGTCGGCGGAGACCGTGAGCTTCATGATTGTGTCGTACGCAACTGTCACATTCCTTCAGTTGACCTCTCTCACGCGAACTGGACTTTTTGACCTACAAAAATGCATCCACGTGAACACGGGCAGCGGCTGCTCTTTGGCCCTGAATTCTTGGTCAAGCTTCTTGACCAGCTGAAGGATACATTCGTTGATGAAGCTTTCCGACTTGGTGACGTTGGACATGGAGTAGATGCCGGAGATGGGCCGTTTGAGAGCAGCATGGGTCTTGGTATCCTCCGTGCCTATGAGACTTGGGTAATGGACG